GGAGACATGTTGAAATATTTTGTCACTTCATGCCCTCAAGAGGCATTTAATTTTTTTTTATCTTTCAATCTACAAGGTGTTTTCCTACGTTTCTCTTGAACAATGATGTCTCAGGAATGTAGGGTTTGGGAATTATGGCAGTTTAAAAGAAAATATGAAGGCAAAATGAAATCTGTCCTCCACTCTAGCTGTGACATCACGCACTCTAAAATCTGAAGAAGGCCTCTTTACCAAGGTCTGAACAATGTTTAATATCTCTAAAAGTAAGAATCAAATGTAAAAGCTGTGTTACACGAATAATGTCAGAAATATGTGTAACATTTTAAAGTTGGAATGAGGTTTCTGAGTGAAAGTATGAATTAGCAGTTGAAGTCGCATGAAGATTGTTCTGAAGTCTGAAGATTTCTCCATTGACTTCCATGTTAAAAATGTGATGAATTATGGGATGTATCTCTGGAATTATGAAAGTTATGAATGATAACAGTAATAGCCATTGATTCCCGACCGAGCTGAACGTTTTGATGTTTGAACGGAGTTTCTGCGATGTTCAATGTGGGAGAAGAAGCAGCGCAAAATAACCCGGCGGAATAATAAAGAATTTAGTGCTTAGCATAACAGATAGTTGGAATGCTGTGTCAGCATTCCCACTAAAATAACTACTTGAATTAAGTCTAGGGAAAATAATTGCTTGTCTCTTCAGTGTGCATCTCACAAAACAAGATGCATTGTGGGACATGTAATTTATTGGCAACGTGCTTTTGTAAAGCGGCATGTAACCATATAATAAACGTATTATATTCTTTGCAAGCTCTTGCGGGCCACATCAAATTAGGTCTTGAGTTTGACACCCCTGTCATAGAGGAGCCAACAACTGCAGCTACATATCGCCCAGACCAAAGTCTTGACTGTATAATTGTGAACTCTATGAATAGCATTTCCCCCATTTTGTCTCGTCCCTGCAGTGCAAGCTCACCATCAGCAGCAGCTGTAGACAGAGGGGGGCGCCAGCGAGCCACGCGCTTCTCAACCAGAGCCTCCATAACCCCGCGATGAAGAAAACCAGAGCCCTCTCCTCTCTCATCTTCACCAGACTTGCTTCACATCAGCTTTTCTCTCCCCCAACTCCCCCTCCCTCCCTCCCAACTCCCCCTCCCCTCCCTCCCCTCCCACCTCCCTCCCCTCCCCCCTCCCCACCTCCCCCCCCCCCTCCCCACCTCCCCCCCTGACTAGGCAATAAGAGAACGTTAACAGGTTGATGCGGTGACATGTTTTAACAAACCAGAGTTTAACTGGCTAGTCTGCTCTTATTTAGCCCTTGTTAACAGACATCTGCAAACACACACACACTTACACTTCCAGGGGCCCCACATTGCAACTTGAGTCAGCTTGCCAAGTAAGAAGGTGAACGAGAGAATGAGAGAAACTAATCAGTGAGAGTGAAGAAGAAATTCCACTGGAACTTGTATTTTGTCTGCACCTTGTTCTGAAAAAAATATATCTTCCAACTTTTTAGACAGTATTAATCTTCTAATACTGTTTATTGCTGCTGCTATGTGCTGCGTTTTGTTTCCAGACGACATGACAGGTTTCTAACCAAACTAAAAACGAGACATGACGAGAAGCTTCCTGTGAAATAAACTCGTTTCAGCAGCCCAGAGGACAGGAGGAGAGTTATTTATGAAATTATAATGGCTGAGGTGATCAGATCCCACTTCTCACCTGACCCTTATGTAACTTTTAAGTTAAAACTTTTACTTTGTAGATAATATAAATAATTTAAAAAATGAGCAAAAAAAATTAAAAAGTTTTAAAAACTGAATGGCTTACTGTGGTTGCTTTGCATTGTGGGTATTTCATGTGTTTCTATCTGGTTTATATATACAATGAACATAGGCACTGTCGTATTTTCAATGCCACTGTCACAAGCATTCATACATTTTGGTAAGAATTTAGAGCAGAAAACACGCTTAGTCCATTAAAAGCTGTTTTGTGGCAGGAGTACTTTTACTACCTTTTCCTGGAGCTTTTACTGCATCATCATCCACTTCTCACACTGAAGTCACATGACGAAGAGCGACACTGTTAGATGTGGTTGAAAAGGCTAGTGAGTGGCCCCTACACACGGCGGCGTGCGTTGGCGGTGGGCGTGTCTTGAGCTTGGGGAGTTCACGCGACCAACAACCAATCACATTAATCTCTCCTGTCAATTGCATAAAAGGTTTTACATGTCACACTTTATATGATGAACATTTATGACATTAATGCCTATGGTGCTATTTTACGCAACATTCCATGCTGGCTAAATACTGTCTATGCCTGCTAGCTGTCCATTCAAACTAAGTACACTGGATATAAACTCCCCAAACAGGCGAAAACCTACCAGTTTCACCCACTGTCTCTGCCACCTCCCTCCATGCCTGGCTCCTCCGGTTTGTATCCCGGTAGGTGAACAGAGACTGATCATAAAGCACCAGGTGATTCACTACCGCTACGATTATTTTCTCCTCCATTTTTTGGCATATGAGGAAATGAACTGCGGTCTGGCTCTCCCAGCATACACGCGGTTTGATTGGCTAGCGCTTGTACTGGCAGATTTGCATAAACGGGATTTCATTGGCTGACGCCTCCGTCCGCAACGCTCCACGTCGCTTCCCAAAATGCAGTTCGACTAAAAGTGACGTTACCCCATTCAAAGTGAATGGGCTGACGTCGCTTCCCAAAATGCAGATCGGCTAAAAGTGACGTCACCCCATTCAAAGTGAATGGGCAGAAGCGTTGGAAGCTTCAACGCACGCCGCTGTGTGGACGGGCCGTGAACGCCGGAGACGGCGGAGACGGACCGCTATGCTACCCACAATTCAGTTCGGCGAAAAGCGAGGCAACGTGACGTCACCCCATTCAAAGTGAATGGGCACTTGATGGGAATTCCGGCTCTTCTTGGTGAGCCGGATCATTTGGCTCGGCTCACCAAGAAGAGCCGGCTCTTTCGGCTCCCAAACGGCTCTTCAGTTTACCACATATTATACCTTTTAATTAAATCAAATGTAGCCCTGTTTTGACTAATGATTTATATGTGTACACATATATCACTTAAATTATTCAATACATCCTTTGTACTGAAGTATTCAAAAGTAAAAATTACATATATAAATGATTTGCTGTGGCCAATTGTTTTCATTGCATTTACAGACCCGTGCAACTCTCTGATACCACCCAATAAATGCATTGACTTGCTTGTAGAACCACGCTACGCAAAACAGACAGCAACACCTATAAAAAACTATTTTAAAAAAGGGGCTACTGTATCGACCTATATAAAGTATATAATTATATTTTTTTTTTCAAAATACCAAAAAGATCCTGCATTTTAGCCATGCCTCATTTCGCTCTATTTGCTCTTTCCAGCGCTGTTTTTGCAGGGGGCTGATTCTGTGAGCTGCAGCTGACCACGCCCCCCTGCAGGAGAGGGGAGCGTGCTTTAGATCAGCTGCTGGGCTGTCAGAAGAGGGGGAGAAAAAGAGATCTCCGTGTTTTATTCTTATAGAAGTAAGAAGAGAAGAACGGGGCAGAAACCCTCCTTTTTACGCAGCGGTCCAGACATAGACATCAAACGGCGACACATATTCAGTTGCCAGTTACTTTGGCATTAGGGCAGGCATATCTAGATACTTTCCAAGGTTTGACATAATGAATTATGCTACTTTTAAAGCAAGCAACGATGTTTTCAAATCTGTAATCAAAAAGCTCCTCAAAAACACTATCGAAGCAGTTCCTGCCGTTGCTACGTTAGTTCAAACAGTAACAATGGACTACTTTTCTTAGCGGATGCATGTCAATTTAAATCAATACATACAACTATTTTTTAAATCAATAAAATCATTTTCTAAATCCATAAAAGCATTTCCATTAATATTGGGAGTCATGTCGTTACTTTGTTGAGAATGTGGCCATGTAATAAGCGGGATAATGTGCACATTGCACAATGTGCCTTCATGCCGATCTAAATCCCTCCGCAAAAATGGCTCGTTCGCGGGCGAGAGCCGGCTCCCGTCGTTCACTTAAAAGAGCCGGCTCTTTGAGCCGGCTCGTTCGCGACCGACACATCAGACGCGGCAACGCAACGCAGACGCGTTGGAAACTGTGTTTGAAGCTGTCGACGCTGTAGTGTGGACGCAGCGTTAGATCCTTTTGCAACACACAAGCAATTACATATAAACAGTGGCGATAGTAACTTAGTAGATTCAGTCAAGTACTGTACTTTTTGGGGTACTTGTACTTTGAGTAGCCTATTTCCATGTTATGCTACTTTATACTTCTACTCCACTACAATTCAGAGGTACATGTTGTACTTTTACTCCACTACATGTATTGAATACCAGTAGCTACTAAACAGATTTGGATTAAGGTTGTGAAATATAATCAACACTTAAATAAGACTTCAGTTCCACCTGGAGTAAATTCAAAACCTAACATTCACAGTATACCAAGTCATTCAAACTAGCTGCACCTTTACCAGCTTTGATAACACTTTACTGCATCAATAATTATAATCAAAATATTTAATATATATTATTCTGAGATGGGCTAATCTGCAGAATGAGTACTTATATATATGTATATTTTGATGCTAATACTTTGAATGCAGGACTTTTACTTGTAACAGAGTATTCCTACACTCTGGTACTGTACTTATACTTTTACTAAAGTACATGATCTAAGTACTTCTCCCACCTCAGCACATAAACGATGTAATGTCACGGAAAGTGAGGCTTGCGTTATATCTTCTAATCTTATTTGATTATTTGATCTTATTTGACTCAATGGAGAGGACATCATATTTTGGTTCCATCTAGATTCTGACTTAGTAAATCCACTTATCATGAGGCTAACAGCTGACCTGGAACACAGCGTAATGAAACAGTTTATCCGTCACCTCCTTCTGAATAACAAGGACACAGAGATGTGAAAGAGCACACACACAAATCCCAAACTGATCATGAGTCTTTTTATGGTTAGGTTTATTTTACAAAAAGTCAAATATACAGTTGATATATATATTTAATATAATTTAGATGCTTATAACTGAAAGGGATGCAAACACATTGACAGAAAAGCTGTTGTGGCTGTGGGGGAGGGGGGGGGGGCTTTAGGGCTGGAATGTTTACAGTGCTGAGTTAACAAACAGTATTGAGGACACAACTGGACATTTGAAAACAAACACCGGAGAGAGTAGAGGTGTTGCTGGAGCGCATGTTGAGGATTAAAGACACCTGAGGTACACCATGATTGTTGTAAGTGCTAACTCGATTCTTGCAGACAAATTGAATTAAACCATGACACAGAAGGAAAAGCCAAAAAACGGTAGAAACATGCGGTAGTCCTGGTTTTAAATATAGCATTTCTTTCTGGGACTTTGGCATTTATCTAATATGTTCTCCTCAGTCTATAAGCAGGTGCAAACATTGAATTCTTAATCCAGTCATCTCTGATCTCGTCTTTCATACATACAAAGGTGTGAAACATTGGGCGTCTCAGATATTGCACTACACAAGTTCTGCCCCACATCACACCCTGAGCTTTCACAAAAGGGGAAAGCAACAGCAGCTTTCTGGCAAAGGCACAGTCATTCTTCCTTTAGAATAAAAAAAATATCAGCAAATAGAGGGGACTGATAGTCAAAATAGTTATTGTTACCGTTGCTTTCCTTTATCAGAGATAAAACAGAGAGGTGATGAGGGATTTGTTTAGACTTGGGCACATAGAGGCAGGAAGATCAACCGTACTTTTGCCAAAAACATCCTTGTTTTTGTTCCCCTTATAAACACTTAAAATATGTCAGTCTTGATCAAGATGATACATATAAGAGAACTACAAAACCATTGCCAAAATGTTCCTTTGGTAGACGAAGCTGACCTATTGCGGTTGTGTTCATGAGGAAATGTGGTTGCATTTAGGCATTTCTCTTCTTTAAGGAAAGGAAACTACACTGAGAAGAAGGGCAGATAAGATGGGTCTTACCCACACATTAGGCATACGTTCACTGAAGGTACATCTTAAACAACTGCTAAAGTTAGTGTTAAAGCAAGGTTAGAAAACAGACAACATATTTCCCTAAAGCATCCCGTCGCTAAAGGAAGTGAAGCTTCAGGTGTTGAAACCAAATTACAGAACATTTTTGGTGTGTGTCAAAACGACTGCTCACTGTTTATGGGATATTTTTGTGTTTTTTGAGAGGAGAGACAACAGGTAACTGAAACTGATCTACAAAGGTTGATCTCAAGACGGACACACTGAGATAAACCAATGGGTCACTAAGAAAATCAGCTGTTTGCTTTGGTAACCACTTCATCTTTTGGATTCCTTTAAATAAAAATGTAGTATGTCAGCTCTTGACAATACAATGCACACCTGAGCTGAAACCAAACCTCCCTCACTGAAACCACTTTTATTAAAACGTGTATAAAAATATCGTGTTTATCCGCCTGCTGCCGTTTTGAACTGGTACAGAAAAATACTAGGAAAAATATTTAATGCTATGAGTGTAAAAAAATAGAGTTGGAAACTCGCCCAAGAATCAAGATTTGCCTTAGAAAGTTGTAAGAAAATAAATGTTAAAATCGACAGAGGCAATATGACAGGAGCTGCATCGCGTTAGCTGCTTTAAAGTGAGATTAATGTTAGCATGTTAGCTGAGATAATATCTGACCTGCAGTCTGTTTCATTTGTTCTGAATGTGGGACTCATCTGATAGAAATGGGCTCTGATGGTGGAGGATTAACTCTCTGTTTTGATCTTGCGGAGTGTTTCCAACTTTCCCGCTCTGTGGAGTGAAGCTTTTCAAGTTGATGTTTTATTTGGGGCGCATTTTTCCAAATCAAAAAAGATACCTTGGGAGTGCCAAGGTTCATTTTGGAGGGGCAGAATACTTATTGAGCCTCATTAATAATTCGTAACACTTTTAGTTAAATGTATTTTGAGTAAGAGTGGAGGGTGCGTTGTGCCAAATAATATACTACAATTCTATTATATTACACAAATATTTTGGCCACATCGTGTTGCCGTCAGGAGAAAAGATAAGGAACAGAGATGGATTACTCTTCTCCTGATGGCTCCTCTCCCACCATTGTAAAAATGAAATATCATAAAAGATAACTTTGTATCAAGTGTTTGAATTCATCAAATTAATACAGGGTTATAGAAAAAAATATATAAATTATATTATTGTATTTATATCATTAAATGTACTTTTTGTGGCAGGACTTATCTCTGTGAGACCATGTGACACTTTGTGCTTACTCAGAAGATAATGCTGCGTACACAAGGCCTTGGTGCTGGACATGTAACATGTGACACTACAGATGGTATTTTGGCAAACCTAGCAGTGAGTATTGGGACAGACTCCAGATCAGTGCTGATGGACACCTCGACTCCTCCCACATGAACACACAATAAAAGCAGTGCTGATGAAAGTTGATGTAGAATAATTCCTGGTTCTGTCTCTGCCTCAGCGACGGGCTGAAGTGATGGAAGCACTTCAAAGTAACAGCTTCCCACCTGACTTTTCCCCTTTTTAATGTTTTTTTTATTTTTTTCTATAAAAGAATCTGTGTATACAAAATACACATTGTTGTCAAAGTGCACTGAAAGCGTTGTGCACTTAAATATGAAATAATGCGCAAAAAGAGGAATATCTAATATAACATGTAGGCACTCTGAAATGAGAGTGCTTTCTCATTTCTGTGTTTGTACACAAAGCTCTGTGTGTGGAATGAGCTGGGGGACAGCTACACATGTGCCCCCCACCCCCCCACCGCTCTCACACTGAACCTCAACATCAAGAAAACGAGAATAGTCATAATACTCGGCACTTTTATAAAACTCCCAAAAATACATTCACTGTGGACACTGGGTGGAGGCTGTGAGGGTCAGACACTGGTAAGCACACTGCCAGCACAGACCTTGTGTGTGTGTGTGTGTGTGTGTGTGTGTGTGTGTGTGTGTGTGTGTGTGTGTGTGTGTGTGTGTGTGTGTGTGTGTGTGTGTGTGTGTGTGTGTGTGTGTGTGTGTTGACATCAGACAAAGTCTTGAAGCTCAGCAAAGAGTCTGCTGTGGGCATCCTGCGCTCTCTGAGAGTCTCACACATGACATGTGCAGCCGGGTGGGGGGGGATCAGATGTGTGTATCAGAGTTTCCGTTAGCCGGTAGTTACCGGTTTTTAGCTGGTATTTAAAAACGGTAAATTCAAAACCTGCCAGTCAAAATGTCCGGTAAGAATAATCTGTCGTGGCGGCGGAGCTGTTGGCGGTTGTCAGAGCAACATGTACTGGTTGTCAGAGCAACATGTACTGGTTGTCAGAGCAACATGTACTGGTTGTCTATCGCCCTCTTGCGCCCCCGCTCTGGCTCCAGCTCGTAGTCTGAGTCCCGCTGAGGGAGGTGGGGGTGGCGGAGCAGGGGTCTCCTCCCCACAGATTCACTCCGGAGAAGCAGAGCCGGGGCTGACGGAGGAGGGTCCGGGGCGGGGTTGATGCGGGTGGAGTGGCGGCCCGGGGGCTGGGCGGCGGCCCGGGGGCTGGGAGAGCAGGAGGAGCGCGGCTGGCTGCAGTGAGCCAGGCTGGGCTCGGAGCTCCAGCGGTGCAGAGAGAACGGGACCAGGAGGGCGCCCGAGAGCTGGCCTGAGGGAGAACACAAAGAGGGAAAGACATTTTAGTATCAACACGCAGAAACATACCTGGAAGAGAAAGACAAGGTGACTACAGCTAGTCATTTCTTATTTTTCTATTAACTTGTTGTCATTTTGAAGAGTTTTGTGATGAGTTAACTTGCTTGTGTTTTCACATTGTGACGCCTTTAATACATAGCAATGTATACTTGTTTCACCAATGTGAAACAATGTTTCCTACCCTACTGAACTTTGTTGTCGCCAAGTGACCATGTTACAACCTCCTGGCAGTAACTTCTGTACATGCAATGTTATCCCATAAACAATAGAACCCAAGTTGTTTTAAACATGTTGATGTAAACATAAAAACTCAGTCATATCTCTCTGAAAAAGTTGTGATCTCTGAGAGCTGGATGGGGGTCTCACCCTGTGACGGGGGGCTGGAGCCCGCCACCACGAAGCTGGACAGAGTGACGGCGCCGGCGGCTCCGCACTCCAGCGGGATGGGGAAGAGGCGGAAGTGACTGAGCATGTCCATCACAGAGGGGAAGCGCAGGTGCTGGACCCTGCACTGACCCCACTCTGTCAGGGAGAGGCGCAGGTGCTGCAGGGACACAGACGTGAGGAAGGGAAGACATCAAGAAAAGATACATTTCACACTGTTTTTATACTGAGAATGAGCTTAAAGGTCACCTATTATGCAAAACCCACCTTTTCATGTCTTCTATACATCAACATGTGTCCCCTCTGTGTAAAGAGATTCTGAACGTTTCAGGGAAAAGATTCTCTCTCTTTTTGTCCCAACCATTTAAATAAAAACCTGTCTGAAAATGAGCTGATCAGATTTTGGCCACTTTATGATGTCATAACGATTTGTTGGCTTGTGTAACCATTAGCCAATCACCAACCAAGGTAACACCCCACCCCCCACCTTATCACCTGAATCTCCTCCTAGAGCACCATTGTGTTCTTTATAACCAAATCTCTCTCAGAGGGGCGTGGGGAGTGTCTCCTTATTTTCATCTAAAGTAACAGACAGAGAATCAGCACTTTTGAAACAGGGCTGAAACAGAGGGGATTCATGCATAATCTGTTTGGTATTTGGAGCCAAACTCTTCAGAGACATGTTTTGTATATATCTGAGACCTATAACATATTGATGAAAAACAGTATAACAGAGGACCTTTAATGTCTTTACTATTAGAGGTACGTCTGCATAAGGCTTCCTCATGTAAGCATTTACCAGTGTTAGGAAATGAGGTGGTTACTAGTTTGACGCATTCAGGGCAAAAAAAAAAGGAACAATGTGGGTTTGGGTATATATTGCTACATTTTATCGGGGAACCACCTCGGCTGCGAGCCTCAGTGAGACGTACCTTGGCCTTCCCCTGGTAGTTGAAGGTGAGGACGTAGTCTCCTCTCCGTGTCTCGCTCTGACGGACCAGAAACACCCCGTGACCCTCCGGGCCGGAGCTCTGCACCAGGTGGGCCGCCTTGACCCTGGAGATGGGCCCGTGGAACCATGGGTAGGAGAACAGGAAGTGGTCGGCCTTCTGCACGACCTGCTCAGGCAAGGAGAAGGTGACGGGGCCTGGAGGATGGAACAGAGAAACAAATGGTTAAATTCTTTATTTATCATAAAGCTGGACCACTCTCATTTCATTTCAAACCTTTACTTATACAGATGAATCCCATTGAGATCATTGATCTCTTTTTCAAGGGAGACCTGCTCAAGTAGTTCCACTCTATTAATATAAGAAAATCATCAAATGATTACTATCTGTAATGTGAAAGATTTCCTTCGTGTTGCCAAACCTACAATGAATCCTTACCCACTCTAACTCAGCAGGGTTATTTGTATTGAATGTGATGGCCCACATCTCAACAGTTTCATTTCAGTCCCTCAGCTCTAATCGGGGTTGTTTTCAGCCGCAACAGGCAGCTGCTCCAAGTAAATAAGCTATAAAAACCTTCTGTGCACTTCCTGCTCGCACCAAGCGGCAAATGGAGAAAGTTAGTGACATGTGGAGCGGCTAAAGAGCTAGATTTCCCTCAGGAGATGTTAAAGAATAAAATGGAGCTAAAGGGAGAGTGCTGGACTAAAAACTCTAAAAATAAAAATGCTGCATTGATTTGGAATCACTGGGTCAAATGAAGCTGTTGAATAACTGAAACTGGAATCAGCTGCTGATACAATCAATTAAAGTAAGAATGGAGGTATTCAAAATGACATATTTCGGTTGTTTATGAAATGTCCTTAAAAAAAGCATTTTTTTAGAAGACTGCATTCAGAATTACAAAGGTAACGTGAGGCTTACAGGGTTATAACTTTTTTTTAAATGAGCACACAAACACTGTGATTGTTGGAGGAAGTGTTTCCTCTCCCCCCCCCCTTCCACTCACTTTGACTCCCTAACTCTGAGCTCCCTCTGTGACTGGCTGGAGCCGAGCTGTCTGATGGGGGGGGGAGAGGCTCCAGATCCACACTGCCTGACCTGAGGACAGAAACAGATTCAGATTACACACACACTGCATCAACACATGTCGTTCTCATTGTGGACCACCTGGGGGGGAAATAGGTCACTTTCATGATTATTTCATTTCATTTTAAGGCATCGTTTCCCATCTGGGTTTCACCATCTGTCTTATAAGAGCGCTGCAGCTCTGTTTGTGCTGGGAGATCAGTGTCTTCTTTCAGAAGTGTGGTGAAAACACATTCAAGTTGAATAGGCTGCATTTAGCGTCTGTAATTACACCAGTGTCTCCGAAAAAGATATGTGTTGACGTTTTATTGATGTCAACACATATCACTTTTCCTTTTCAGTAGGATGAGGGAAAGCAATAGATATGGGTAGGAAATTAAAGAGAGGTGTGTGTTGTGTGTGTGTGTGTGTGTGTGTGTGTGTGTGTGTGTGTGTGTGTGTGTGTGTGTGTGTGTGTGTGTGTGTGTGTGTGGTGTGTGGAGGGTTTAGTGAACATGGAAGAACAGCAGGCAGAAGTAACACAAAGTCACCAGGCACAGACAGGAAGTGAGGCAGTTCACATCTGAACTAAGACTTACTGTTCTTCTGACACACACACACACACACACACACACACACACACACACACACACACAACACACACACACACACACACACACACACACACACACACACACACACACACACAGAAGGTTAAAGGGGGAAGCCTGAGCAGATCCTGCTAAAATGCTGACTTGAGTTTGCTCTGAATAACAGGAAGACATGCCTCCTTTCTCCTCACTCTTGTGGGGTCTTGTTCTTCTATCTTTGTGAGAATCAGCTCACGTTTTATTATTATTGCAAAGTGAGGAGATTTTGCAGAGTGGACATCTCAGCCAGTCAGCAATGCTACACCTCCCACATCCGGTACACACTGACTCTCTTGGTTTATAGCCTCGATTTGGGGTGAGGGCGTACGCTTTTGGGCAACAGGCCTTTTTTCCACAAAGTGTGTGACAGGAAAAGCACAGGTGTTACTTATAATGATGGCTCTGTTCTATTCAAGGGTCCCAGTGAGCCATAGCAGCACACACAATATGAGGACCCTGAAACAGAAACACCTGTCTGTGCTTTTCCTGCTGGGACATGCGCTGAGAAAGGCCTATCGTTTCTCCAAGGGCATTCAGGGTGTTGTACCCAGTTGTACGCGCACAGTGTGATGTAAGTAAGTGTGTGAAGAAAGAAAAGGAGGATTGACTGCACACCTGGTACATCCCTGTGTAAAGTGGCCATTGTGTGAGCGTTGTTTGAAAAGGTGTCTACAGACAGGCTCTAGTCTAAACCAACACAAGAGAGGGCTGCGTTTTTTGACTCAAAATTGTCCTGACTGTGGATATAAATGATTTTGACAAGCATTCAGTTTAATGAAGTTAAAAGACTAGTTGGAATGTGACAGTTCATATGCGGACAAAGGATGCATGATAATCAGTACTAAAGTGGGTTGAAAGAGACTTTTAAAGGTCAGATTAGAAGATTAAAAACGACACATATTTGGCCCTATATTAGGTTATTACAGATGCATTGGTGTTGGGGTACATGCTGGCTGAGAAGTGTTCCCATACAAAAATGCCAAACTAGGGTTGAGGTAATTTAGTAAAATGTCTCAAAAACAAAGTTTGTTCATCAAAGAATCTCCCGTTCAGGATGAAAGAAACACATGTATCAATAAGTATCATGTTATGTAATCATGTGAAATGCATTATTGGCTGGTCTAACGCACACCCACACACCCACACTTGAATACATTCCTGCATATGTTTACTTTATGAAGTATCTGAACAAACAGTGAATTCCAGAGTGAACTCTGACTTCACCTCCACACTTGATGAGTGTTCACTTACTGTACCGCTGACTACGTGTGTGTGTGTGTGTGTGTGTGTGTGTGTGTGTGTGTGTGTGTGTGTGTGTGTGTGTGTGTGTGTGTGTGTGTGTGTGTGTGTGTGTGTGTGTGTGTGTGTGTGTGTGTGTGTGTGTGTGTGTGTGTGTGTGTGTGTGTGTGTGTGTGTGTGTGTGTGTGTGTGTGTAAGAGCATTACAGACATCTGCAGAAATGAGAAAGGTCCTGAGATTCTCCCAAGTCTCAGACCTCCCCCACACTTCCTTTCACAGACACACACACACACACAATCACGCACGCACGCAAAACACACAGACAGACGAGTATCCTCTGAAACAGAAGGTCACATTTTTTGGGTTGAATCCTAATTTCTTCTGATAAAAGATAGATGTTGTCACACTGAAAATAATAGTATTCGTGCAGTATGCCTCTGTACAACAGCATTAATATGAGAATCCCTAAACAAAGATATTTGCCCCAAATTCTCAACTTATGGGCTCCTTTGAAAAAACATCTCAACCTTGAATTTCTACATTTCTAAATGTTAACTTCTTTCCTGACTTTAATAACTTTAAAAGTCATGTTCAACAACTTTACCTGATTGCACAATGTTGATCATAATACTCCCCCAGAAGATGTGTTAGTTCACCGGCTGAGTGTAAATATGAAGTTGACTGCTGAGTTTGATGAATTATTATTTCCAGGAATATTTACAAGACTCAAAGTTGCTCCAGTCTGTCAATCCCAAAAGCTCACACACAACGCTGAATCTTTTTTCTGCTAACACAAGTGACCTCAATTATTATTTCATGACTAACATTTCGGTCGGAAAAAGTGATGTAATAAAACCACTAATTTGTGGTTACAAAATAAGTTGGAACTCGAGTCATGAGTTCGGCTCACACCGCTCAAAAAAGTTGAAATATTCAAAATGGAGAAAATCAGCTTCAGGTAATGACAAGTATTGAAGTCCTTGTTTTTTTAAGTGTGTCTCACCTGTTGCTGATACATTCTTTTAGCTCTGTGGTCCAGGAGCTGACCAGCTGGTCGTTGTCCGTCTCAAAAATCAGACTACCTCGATTAACCTGCAGAGACAAAGAAGCTTTCAAACATACCATCCATATTACACAGACACCGAAGTTCAAGAAATGGCCGAGACGCATAAAAAGTGCTTTACATGCACTGGCAGCAGGCTTCATGTTGCTTTTTTGATTACGCAAAAGTAGCCAGGTATTTTTATTTACCCATTTCCTTTAATAGAAGGCTAATTTGTTTTCAGCAAAAGTCCGGCTACTAACATGGGGGGAAAGTAAGCACACTTTCCATTATTGATGTGTAAAACTACGATCAAAACCAAGGTGGAAAGATGCCGTCCCGCCCACCCATTCTCAGTGGTTAAATTACCCAATGTGTCTTACACTAAAAAATATCCGTTACTCAGTCTGTGGCTCAAGCAGTACGTTCCATAAGGTATGGGGACCATTCCTAAACACTTCAGAAGTCATGCTGATGGTGTACCCCTGCAGAATTCTGACTGTACTGTCTAGTATTATTATCACTGTCATTATTAACATTACTACCACTATTTGTATTCATATATTTATTGTTGTTTCTTTTTCCATTATTCTGTCTTTTGTCCCAGACTCCCAGCTACTCTCTTTTCTTTTCTTTTTTACTCCAGAAATGTCATGTACATGTTTTCAGGTCTGATCTTGGGGAAGGGATGAATGTGTAAATGTGTAATGTTTGATTGTCTTAAAAAATCTAATAAAAGTATTTCTGAGAAAAAAAATTGCTATCAAATACTTACTGTTATCTCTGTAAAGTAGATTACACATTTCTTACAGGCTTTTTTTGTGGCTATACTGTATTTTGGTGATACAATGGAGGATGTGGATGGATGTCTGAGTAGTGATCGGCGATGTAAGAAGTGTTCTGTGGATGTTTTGAGTTTTCCCCCTCATGTAAACACTTGCTGTGACTTTGAACCCACAAGGTGGTGAGTGTTTAAACTCAAGAGACAAGGTTTGGGAAGAGAATAAACCAACAAAGTCTAAATGAAGACCGTTTGGTGAGTTTTGTTATGAAATGATATGACACAAAGATTGTCCTGTTTTGCTCTTCATGTTGAATTGAGGGTTCGAGTTCAAAGCAAATGTGTATGTCAACAACACGGTAGGGCCGAAGGAGTCCTTATTTATTTGCTTTAAGTTAAAAGCCTGTACATACCTTTAAAACAAATGTGTTTAAGTTGTCAGGCATCTCCAGCCGGTTGCAACGACGGACTTCTTGGATATCTGAGCAGTGAGTCGTCAGCTTGGGACAGGAGGCCTGAAAACATCATGAAGAAAAAGAGACAGTCAGAAATACCCAACGAAAGAGAACAAGGTACAGAAACAGAGAGAAGAAACTGAAACAAAGAAAAGTGTGAACCTTCTACACTCCAAAATTATACTCCAACAGTTAAATGTATATTCAGAATGTGTGTGTGTTGAGGAACTGAGTCTTCAACCAGCCTCAGCTACTGAACAACACATTTGACAGTTGTTTTAAAAGTGTGTCAATGCTACTGTAGTGTAAGCATATGTTCCTGTTACTACTACAGCTCTTCAAGTCAGTGGTAGACATGTTAACAACCTACAAAAGGGAACAAATGGGTTTTTCTTTACTTAATCAAAAAGTTGGTTTTGTATTGAGAATTCAGTAATGACAGCCAAATATGGAATGGCCATTTAGGCAACCTACGTAGAATTAACTTAATATACCTACTCCAGAATTGTTATACTGTTTATATTGTTTATATCTGATATCATATTTTTCATTTTATTTGTACTTTACATTTGTAGTTGTTAATTCTCTATTCTAAGCACGCTACAGGCCAGTCTGCGAGGAAGAACAGTGAGGTAGGGGGTCAGCGGTTTAAAGAAATGATCTAGAACAGGGGTGCCCAACCAGTCGATCGCGATCGACCGGTCGATCGCGGGGAGATTCCCAGTCGATCGCGATATGTGTCTAAAAATAGAAGAGCAATATTCAGTTTTATCGTTAATGTCCTATAACATAATCTTCCTGTGCCAGAATAATGCACTTGAACGCATCAAAGCTTTGTGATTGGCCGGCGTGACCCCATGTGTCGGGGCGTGGCTGGTGGGCAGTGGGCACTATTTCGCTGACGTTGTCCGTGTCAACAGGAGTGCCAGTCCGCACACACACAAGACCGCAATTATGGCAGAAGCAAAAAAGCCAAACATATATAATTTTCACTCCGAGTGGGAGGATGATTATTTTTGTATCTATTCCAATTCAAAGTCCATCTGTCTCATCTGCAATGCGAGCGTGGCTTTATCGAAGAAGGGTAATTTAGGAGCGGCATTTACGACGGAATTCCCTCCTAATTCTGCCCTACGCTCCCAAAAGGGGAGGGGCCTGAAAGGACAGCTAAATGCACAGCAGTCCATTTTCACCAGGCCCAACAACAAGAGCAAGGCTGCTACCATAGCATCTTATCGTGTCAGTCACGTTCTTGCGAAACACATGAAGTCTTTCCAGGCTGAAATGACTGAGGGGGCTGTTCAAAAATCCTAGGGGGCGACTTTTTTTTTCACAACAACGAAAAATACTGGCAATGTAATGAATTGACACACCAAGTTTTTTTCATTCTCACTGCTCTACAATCTCTTTGCTTCTTTATTTGTATTCTGGATTGACCCCTCTCATTCTGTTCTTTTCCTCTGATCTTTAATAATAGATAGTACATTATTAGATGCCTGCACTTTGTTAGTCACGTTAACAGACTAACATTGATTTCCTCAATTTATAAATGGACAGGCTCTGTAATTATACCATAACCTTTTCTCCTCTATCCCTTAACTCGTCTTCCTATACAGATTTATTTACTTACTATCTACTCTAGTCATGTCAGGATTAAAGACAAATTAATCTGTTTTTTTTTATTTTCAGGATTGAATGTTCAAACCAAGACCTAAAACCTGGCATTCCATAAGAAAGTGACTAATATATAAACCAAATGTAATATTGGATCAAATACTACACCAAATGGACAGACACAGATTAAAAATCCGTCACTAGATGTCGCTCATTGTACCAATACGGTTTATATAATAACATATTATTATTATTAAAGGGCTCGCTTTGGCAAAAACCTGATCCATACAGGCAGCCCTAAATAATAACAGGTAAGCATCATGTGTGGTGCTATCTGTAGTTGTCTTGTTTTTTGTCGATTTCATCTTGTTTTCACAGAGCTGTGGAAATGAATTTCCCCCTGGGGACAATAAATCTAATCTAAACTAATTTAATATTCAATCCCACACTTGGCGATTGAGAACATACATTCGTAATTTACCTCGTTTAAATCACTTTTGTTCTAATACTATGGATTTAGTTGACACTACTAGCCGACTTTCTTTTGTCCAATATTTTGCGGGAAGGTACATTGAATTAGAAGCTTCTTATTATACATCCATGGGTAGAAGAAGAAGAAGTAGAGGAAGAAGAAGAAGAAGTAGAGGAAGAAGAAGAAGAAGTAGAGGAAGAAGAAGAAGTAGAGGTAGAAGAAAAAGAAGTAGAGGTAGAAGAAGAAGAAGTAGAGGTAGAAGAAAAAGAAGTAGAGGTAGAAGAAGAAGAAGTAGAGGAAGAAGAAGAAGAAGTATTAGAAAAAGAAATACACTAACGCTACAAACAGGCTCAACACTGTTACTCTGTTTTTACTGACATGTAACATTTTATTTCACCTTGCTCTATGTTTTTTAACGCACATTCCGAAAATGGGGACTTTGCCCGGAAAACAGGGACGTTTTGGTCCCCCATCCGACTGTGTTTACAGCTAAGCACACATGCTAACATTAATTAAGACTACAAGCTCACTTGGGGTTGAGGCTTGTTTACACGTTGCTTGACTGCCTGCCCACATATCTGATCTAAATATAGTAACGTGTGTTGGGGAAAATAATTATTTAAAGTTATTTAATAATTGTGACATTTATTTAACTTTTCGATGGCTGAATGATGCTCAAAGTGAGGGGGCAAATAAAACAACTTAGGGGGCAATGCCCCCTTTTGCCCCCTCGTGGCGCCAGGCCCGAGTCTTTCAAAGACGGCGAAGTTGTGAAAGAAGCATTCCTGGAGGCTGCCGACGCGCTTTTTGGGGACAGTAAAAATAACAGTAGCACTTCAACAGGTTTTTGATATAATAAAAACTCAAGTTAGATACCGTTATTAATCAGCTGTACGTTTTTGTTTGTTTGAACTTATTCATTATAATTATTGTACAAAATGGTATAAGATAAAGATAAAGGTTATAGTCTATTATCAATTCAGGTTAAGAAACTAGTGTTGCTTGCATCCTATTTTAAAAAGGCATTTATTTTTATACTCTACTAAATGCAACAAAAAAAGGGTTTGATTCTATTAATTTTGTCTTTTTTATTGCACTTTGGCAGCAGATTCCTGTGTAGCTTCAGATCTGAGTTGTCTTATTAGTAAGCCTAATTTATACTTTTGTAGCAACACTACTCAGTTTTACACAAGTAGAAGTGTGTATTTACCTGGCTGTCAGTAATGGCTACGCCTGGACGCTTGGACTGGTAGATCTTGGCAGACTGGCAACTTTAAAAGTAGCTCTCGGTTCAAAAAAGGTTGGGCACTCCTGATCTAGAAAATGGGTCTCTGGATAAATGTAAATGGCAAATGGGATGTTGTTTCTAGAAACTGTCAAATAAACCTTCCATTATCTGCACGACAGATATTCCATAACCTTGGCAAATATAAAACACACTTTATAAACATGAGCATAATAAGCTGCCTTAATTGAAATGTAATGCAGGAGTCAAACGCTCACATTTGTTGCTCGATTGTACATTAGTCATTTTTTTACTTAAATATCTAGCAAATCAACAATCAAGTGGCTTTTACTTGCAAGAAAACTAACTTCCTTCACGTAAGATAGATATAATGGAGTTGACTTCTGAGAAGGGTGTCACTGCAACACGTCTTATCAGTTAAGCTAAAGATACCACTAACAGCACAGGATGTGTACATCGTGTGTGTGTGTGTGTGTGTCTGGACGTGTGAAGCCTGAAGCCTCCCTCAGACAGAAAGGCAGTGAGTCGCATGAAAGAAGAGCATGATGGGAGCTCTCATGATTGAGCTATAAGGTCGACCCCGACAGGACAAAGTGAGTGAGATACGAGGGGCTTCATGGCGGCACACCGTTATGGGGAAATGATGCGGGGACAAAACCATCAGTGATCCTTACTTTTAAGCACTAATAAACAGACATGTGGGTACTTCAAACATGATTACCTGCAGCAAAGCTCGACAGGACGAGAGAGAGAGAGAGAGAGAGAGCGTGTGTGTGTGTGTGTGTGGTGTGTGTGTGTGTGTGTGTGTGTGTGTGCATACAAGTCACTGATAAAGCGAATCGGAGCCTTCGAGGATACAAATGAGCGCTTACAGAACCAGAAGCACACTAAATATAAAATTCTACAAGCACACAAAGGCATGCAACATCTTTTTCATTGACCTCCACACACACACACACACACACACCACACAACACACACACACACACACACACACACACACACACACACACACACACACACACACACACACACACACACACACACACACACACACACACACACACACACACACACACACACACCTGTGGCGAAACTTAGGTCAAAAAGTCGCCTCTGAAATGAAGCCTGGGTGACAGCTGATAGAAACACGTGGAGACACAAGAGTCTGCAACTATTATTATTAGTTTAAAACCAGAGTGTGTGTGTGTGTGTCATGTGTTAGCTTCCTGTGTAGATATAACGATCAGTTCATTGACTTGGGGACTGAACAATATGAAATGTCTTCATAATTATCCTGTCCAAAAGAGTTCACAAACGTATCTCTAGTTGCAGCTCTTCTTACAGTATGCATACAAATATGAAACTGTGTTAACCACCTAAAAGGAAATCCACCAAATTCATAAGAATAAAAGAAAAGCATGACTAAAAAACGTAAAATCCTTAAGACAATTGTATTATTTGGAGAGGTTTTAAATATTATCACCAAGCCCAGGATGGAGTCTCCCAAAATTATATTTGATCCACGAACAATTGGGAAAAAAGTAACCCTTCCCCAGCACACAGCGTGACACTAACAAGCTACATTGGATTAACATGAAACCCTATGGGGACAAACGAATATGCAAAAACATAACAAAAAAGAAGAGGTGGGGGGGGGTGGTGGCGTGAGAGAGCGTGAGCAGCAAAAGGAAACAGACGAGACGGTGAAAGGCTCGCCGTTGGTGGGAGAGGAGGGAGGGATGAAGAGGGATGAAGAGCAGAAGAAGGAGCGGGAGGACAGATTCCAGGGCTTTGTGCACCGGATGAGTTAGAGTCTATGTGACAGTGTGTGAGCCTGAGGAATGTCTATGATAATCCTACACACACGCACATAAACACAGGCACACACGCTTCAAAAGAATAGATTAACCCCCACTGGACACATTTCTTCAGCTAGCCAGTGATGTGATCGATGCAGCGACTCCAAAAGCTTCAGCCGCAGCGTGTAGTAATATCAATGAGAAGCAGCGTGACACAGATGAGCTGGATGTGACTCATTTACAAAAGATCTGACTCAGGGAATCTGGAACTGACTCAAAGTTGTACTGCCGCAGGATGTTCAATTCTGCTTCTTCAGATTCAGGTTCAATCTGTCAGGTTTTCTTATAACTAGAGAGTCAGAAAGATGTAATCAATATGTTCTCAGAGGAAACGTGCGCATGCTTCCAAGTGTGCACTCCAAGCACGTACGGAGTAAAAACACGACCGTTGATATTGTACGATACTTTGAAAAAACAAATGATTGTCGATTTGTAAGAGACTCATAGTATACATGAATGCTACAGAGGCTGCTAGGAGATTTAAAAACAAATCAATAAAGTAAATACAATATTTTAGGAGGTGCATCGTTTAATGGTTGCCTTGGAAACTGCTGACAAAACAATCTCACTTCAAGGTTGATCAAGACATCAGGACATTATTTAGATTTATTATTTAAATTGCTGTTTCGATATGATAAAAATAGAAATGTAATTATTTAAATCATTATTCATCATTTATCATATTTCCAGCAAAAATATAAAACCTTTTTCTGTTTCGATATCCTGCTTTTCTGTTGTAATCTTAAACTAAGGATAAAAACGAAAAATTGTTATCATTTTTGAATGTTTTCTGACATTTAGATTAACTGAGAAAATAATAATTGTTAATCACATCCCTACATGGAACACATTTTAAAAATGAATAAGATACGACAACATTTGACACCAGTTTACTTATATTTGGACATCTATCTATTTCATCAACGTAGGTATGTACGTACAGGATGTGTACCTAGGACATGTGGTGTGTGTGTGTGTGTGAGAGAGAGAGTGTGTATGTGAGGAGAGAGAGAGTGTGTGTGTGTGTGTGTGTGTGAGAGAGTGTGAGTGTGTATGTGAGAGAGAGTGTGTGTGTGTGTGTGTGTGTATGTGAGAGAGAGAGTGAGAGTGTGTGTGTGTGTGTGTGTGTGTGTGTGTGTGTGTGTGTGTGTGTGAGAGAGAGAGTGTATGGGTGTGTGTGTATGTGAGAGAGTGTGTGTATGTGAGAGTGAGTGTGAGTGTGTGTGTGTGTGTGTGTGTGTGTGTGTGTGTGTGTGAGAGATGGGGTGACTCATTGAGAGATATGTATTGAGATTGTGAATGAGTTTCTGACTAAGAGCATCTTTAAGGAACCATATGTGTCTGTGGGAGGGGGGGGCAGCAGATGTCTGACTGGTTGAGCAACACGCCTGCTCTCTGTGAATCCACTTCATCATGGTAGCAAGTTCAAGCTCACAGCACATTTCCTATCACTGAGAGAGAGAGCGCACGCACACACACACACAACAGCTTTTACCCTTTGTTTAATCTTAACATAAATCCTTCAATATTATTTCCTTAAAAAACACCGCGAACAATGTGGGAACACTTTGTAAGCATTCATCTTTGAAAGCATGATGAATATCCACCACACAGAGACACAGAACAACTAAGGGGAGACACAAAAGGACCACATAAACTAAAGGCTTAAGATGACAACCTAAGGAGACTCATAACGTTGTCTTTACTTCTATCCATTGTCAAATCTGTCTAGGCTGCAGACTATTGGAGTTACAAATAGCAGCATTTCACTGATATTTTTTCATTTTGGATTCCTTTTTTTGGCATCAATGTATGACTTTGAATAAACAATCTAACCAACAAAATGTGACTTTTATTAAAGGCAAGAACCAGGGCTTTAAATGTTCATTG